CTCGATCCCAGGACCCTGGGATCATGACCTGAGCTGAAGGCAGACGCTTAACGACTGAGCCACCCAGGTGCCCCCCACCAACTTTTTTTTTAAGTAATGTCTATGCGCAACATGGAGCTTGAACACACAACTCTGAGATCAAGAATTGAGGGCTCTACCAACTGAGCCAGCCAGGCGCCCCTACCCAACCAACTTTTATTGGGAACCTAGTGTATACACCTCTGTTTTCATTCAGCCATTTATTGAGTGCTTACTGTATACTCCTATGTTTATTCAGTCGGTACTTACGGGGGGCCTAGTATATATCCCTCTGTATGTCCAGTCAGCATTAATCAAATGTTTTCTGTAGACATCTATGTTTATCTAACCACCTCTTAGTAGGTCCCTATTGTATGCCTCTGTATTTATTTGACCAACATGGATGGCAAGCCTTGGAGGTACAGACATGAACAGGATAGACTCAGTCCCTGCCCTCAGAGTTCACAGTGTAGTGGGGGAGAGACCCTCCTCCCAAGAAATCGCAACCCAGGCCGAGTGGTGCCGTGATGAGTTGCTGGATATTGGCCCTCACATGGCCCTCTGTGTCCCAGCCATGTGGCCCTTTGCAATAGGGCATGGTGAACACCTGGACAAGGAGCCTGCTCAGGCCTCAGGGGTCAGGGAAGGCTTCCTGGAGGAAGTGCCGGCTAAGCTGCAACCTGGATGAGGAGGGGACAAGGAAGGGCATCCAGGCAGGGGGAATACAAGGAACTGCAAGAAACTAGTCAGGCTGGGGGTAGAGCTGGTCTCAAGCCACGCATTCCAAGCCCTTCTTAAAGGACGTGTCCCAGCTGCCCTCCCTGGCTCTCGGCAGGACGAGGCCGTGGAACGCTGCAGCCGCCCCGAGCCGCCCCGGGAACACTTTGGACAGAGGATCCTGGTCAAGTGTCTGTCGCTGAAGTGAGTGTGCTGACTCACCCCCTCCCTTCAGACGTGCGAGTCCCCACGTAGGTCCCGGTGCGCGCGCACATGGTGCCCCTTGCCCAAGCTGGGCCATGACTGTGTGCAGCCCTGAGACCCATGAGGCGGTCCGGGCACTTTTAGGTGGGAAGTAAAGACTTCCTTTTCTTGTTCTTCAAAGCCACCAGGCCTTAAGCACCGACTACGTGCCAGGCTCTGTTCTCAGCCCTTCACATGCATTACCCCTAATCTTGTGAGATAGGTGCGGGTTGGGGGGGGAAACCGAGGCACAGGGTGGCAGTCATTGTGCGCAAGATCACATGACTTGTGAGGCCGGAGTCTGGCTCTCGCTCTGCTGGGACCCAGGCTGGTGGGGGCGCTGGTGACCCTGGACCTGGCTTCCAGCTGACCGAGGCCCCCTCCACATCAGTCCCTGGGAGCAGCCAGAAGTGCGTGGGAATGGAGCTGAACAGGATGTGGCCTTGGACCTAAGCCCAGCCCTGCCCCTCCCCACCCTGAGTTCCTGCCTGGATGGGGGCAGGAAAGGGAGGCCTTGGTCTGGCCTGAGGCCCGGGTGGGCCGCCTGCCCCAAGCACTAGGGCTGGGAACCAGCTCTAGAGTATCCAGTCATTCAGCAAACACTCATTGAGCACCTACTGTGTACAGGACATGTAACCATGGAATGACCACACAGGGCTCTCCAGGTGGGGGGACATGGTACACCCAAAGGCTGGGAGATGTCTGGAGGGGAGAAAATGAGGCCAAGAGGTGGGCAGGAGTGGACCATGCAGGATTTTGTTCTCAGCACACTGGGGAGCCTCAAATTGTAAGTTTTAAGATGCTTCCTTAGACTCGCATGAGGAGTGGGAGCCAGCAGGGCAGAGTAAGACAGGGAGGTGGTTACAGGGACTATTCAGGGGAGTGAAGATGGGCCTTAGCCCAGGGTGGCAGAGGACACCCCAGAAAGGGGGGACAGGGAAGCCCAGGAGTTGAGAACTTCAAGACGGGGGTCATTGTTGTGCCAAAAGCTTCCTCTGTATCAGCTGAAGAAGGGCCATAGTTTCAGGGGAAGGGCTCTGCATGAGTTACAGGGCCAGAGTGGGGGGCAGGATCTCAGTGGCTCAGTTTCCCCTTTTGCAAAATGGAACAGGCTTTTCCTACAAGCTCTTAAGTAGCAATTCTTGGTGGGCCAATGGAAATTAGTCCCCACCAACACCATAATGCACCACGCCTGGGCTGGGTCTCAAGAGGGAGTGGGGTGTGTGGGTGGTGGGAGTTTTAGGGACAGCCTCTGCCAGAGTCTTCCCATTCACTGTAGGTTTGAGATCGAAATTGAGCCCATCTTTGGCATCTTGGCCCTGTATGATGTGCGGGAGAAAAAGAAGGTAGGAGCCCCTTTCTTCCCTTTCCTACCCCAACCTTCCTCCTTGTTGCAGGGCAGTGGGCTTCCTGGAGGTGGTGGCCCAGCTGCCTTTCATGTCCCCAGATCTCAGAAAACTTCTACTTTGACCTGAACTCGGACTCCATGAAGGGGCTGCTGCGGGCCCATGGCACCCACCCCGCCATCTCCACCCTGGCCCGCTCCGCCATCTTCTCCGTGACCTACCCTTCGCCCGACATCTTCCTGGTCATCAAGGTGCCCGCTGGGGCTGGGTCAGGGGGTGATAATGGTAAACGCCAGAGGGTGGCCCCTGCTTTCATGGAAGAGGATGGCCAGGTCACCAAGAAGGGTGATCAAGTCTCTTGTGGGGGAAGCACAGGCAGCTGGGTAGCCCAGAGGAAGCTCCTGACCCAACCCAGGTGGGGAGAAATCACGGAGGGCTTCTGTGGAGAGGTGACTGCTAAGCCGGGACCCATGAGCGGGCGGCCTGGCACGTGCAGATGGACATTTAGAATGTTTTTTAAGTTGAGAGTTTTTCAGTTTATTAGGGAAGAAAGACCTAGTTGGCACATTTGTGTGAGATCTTCTGTTTCTAGGAGTGGGCTCAAATTTCCTTCCCCAAGACGTTCAGTTGGGTTACACGAATGACACTATTTGAGCACCTACAGGCAGGCGCTGCTCATGGTCAGTCAGACTACACGGGGATTCCCACCTTTAACCTCACCGCAGCCTCGGGAGGTGGGGGTTGCTGTGGCCTCCATTTTACAGATGGGGAAACTGAGGTACAGAATGGGTTAGGGACCTCTTTAGGCTCCCACAGCCCCCAAGTGGTCAGGATTGGCATCCGGCCATGCTTGGAGTGGCCTCTTTGTATATTAACAAAAATATCAATGTAGAGAAAATATGGAGACTTGGGTTTGGAGTGGGTTCAAAGGGGAGGGGAGGGGGCAGCTGGCCAGGCAAGCCAACTGCTAGTGCTCAATCCGGAGGACAGTGGGAGCCATGGGAGGTGTTGGAGCGAGAGCCCTAGCTGGATGGAGTGTCTGAGGGCTGACGAGGGGGCCAGATGATTGGAAATGGGGTGGGAGGTTGGGGTCCGGACAAGGCCTCACTGGCCCTGCCTGCCCCCTCAGCTGGAGAAAGTATTGCAGCAGGGGGACATCAGCGAGTGCTGCGAGCCCTACATGGTGATGAAGGAGGTGGACACGGCCAAGGTAAGCCTGTGGAGGCTGGGCGGGGTGGTGAAGGGGTCACCAGGCAGGGTAGGCCTGGGGCACTGAGCTTGTGGGGTGTGTTGGGGGTTCTCTCCACAGAACAAAGAGAAGCTGGAGAAGCTGCGTCTGGCGGCCGAGCAGTTCTGCACTCGCCTGGGCCGCTACCGCATGCCCTTCGCCTGGACCGCGGTCCACCTGGCCAACATCGTGAGCAGCGCGGGGCAGCCGGACCGCGACTCGGACTCCGAGGGCGGTGAGGAGGCGGGGCTGCCTGGCCAGGGGCGGGGCTACTGGGAGGGGAAGGGGCGCCCTCTGCTGGCCGGACTTGGTACAAGGTCGAGTCTAAGTGTCTCTCCGGCCCTCCCCGCCTCCCATTCATCTCTGCCCCCTCCATTTCCATCACTGCCTCCCCTAGAGCGCCGACCTGCCTGGACTGACCGCCGCCGGCGTGGGCCCCAGGATCGGACAAGTAGTGGGGATGACACCTGCAGCTTCTCTGGATTCCGCCCAGCCACGCTAACTGTCACCAACTTCTTTAAGCAGGTGCCATGGCCGTGGGGCTGGGGGAGGGATTCCCAGGGATAAGCCCCGTTACCCCGCTGTGGGCGCACGGGCCCCAGGGACCCAGTTTACGTGGGCATGTCCCGTGCAGGAGGCCGAGCGGCTCAGTGATGAGGACCTCTTCAAGTTCCTGGCTGACATGCGGCGCCCGTCTTCTGTCCTGCGGCGCCTGCGGCCCGTGACTGGTGCGTGGTGCTCCCCGTAAATAAGAGCTGGCACTTCCATGCAGTCACTCAGCAAACCCACACTGAGCACCTGCTCTGCCAGGCCCCGGGGACCCACAGGGGACCGAATGCACAAATCCCTGACGTCAGGGGCTGGATCTTTAATGGGCATCATAGACAAGAAACATAATAAGACAGATAGTGGGTCAAATGGGGGACATGGTGGCAGTGGGGACGTGGGTCCTGAGGGTAGAGCTGATCGAATGTGGAGGCAAGGTACAGCAATCGAGGGTGACTTCTGGCCTTGGCACCTGAAGGACAGCCACTAGAGGGCATCATGGAAAAGTCAGAGCCCCAGCCCTGAAGCCCAGAGAGGGTGGGGCTGGGGCTGGGAGGCTCCTGGGCAGGTGCAAACGCGCTCCTCTCTCCCCAGCCCAGCTCAAGATCGACATTTCCCCGGCCCCTGAGAACCCACACTTCTGCCTCTCCCCGGAGCTGCTTCACGTCAAGCCCTACCCAGACCCCAGGGGCCGGCCCACCAAGGAGATCCTGGAGTTCCCTGCCCGTGAAGTCTATGCCCCCCACACGAGCTACAGGTACAGCCCCCAGGGCCCAGCTGGGCACTTGAATTGGGGGGGGGATTCATGCATCATGCAGAGCAAGGTACCGTTTCTCCCAGACACACACACACACCCGGAGTGAGATACCACTACTCCGCTTTAATGGAGGGCTGTGTACGCATGAAGGGTCCCATGTCCTGCCTCCACCCCTCCACACACACATGTCCTCTGTCTGTGTCCCCGCCTGCTTCCGTCTCTCCTCCGTGGCCAGAAGCAGGCCCCGGCACCCTGGCCGACCCCAGGGGGCAGGCAGCTCCTCTTTGTGCAGGGGCCGCGTGGGGCATGGCAGCGCCCCTCCATGTAGACTGGTCCTCAGTTCCACCCAGGCAGGCTCAGGCTGGGAGCGCCGCTGTATGGAGTCTGGAAGGGAGATGAGGCTCAGCCAAGGCAAAGGGGCCCCTATCCAGGTGCCCTGTACACCTCTCATCCAGCGGCCCCGCCCAACCAGTCCCCTCCAGCCTCACCTCTCCTGGATCTGTCGTAGCTGATGCTGCTGTGCGGCCATCTCCCGCCTCTGTCGCTGCACGTGGCCTGTGAGCGCCCACACGATGTGGCTCTGCTTGTCAGCGTGGGCCTGTGGGGTCAGGACAGAAACCTCAGCTGGGGTCCACTCACCTCCCATCCCCCAACCCTATATCTGTATGACCTAACAAGCCACTGCTACTCTGTGGCCTCAACTTCCCCATCTGTTAAATGGGGATGACAGAAGACTTGCTTCATGGGGGGATTATAAGCATGATACGGATTTTTTTTTTTTTTTTAAGATTTTATTTATTTATTTGACAGAGAGAGGGAACACAAGCAGGGGGAGTGGGAGAGGGAGAAGCAGGCTCCCCGCAGAGCAGGGAGCCCGATGCGGGACTCGATCCCAGGACCCTGGGATCATGACCTGAGCTGAAGGCAGTAGCTTAACTAACTGAGCCACCCAGGCGCCCAAGCATGATACGGATTATTAAGAGGCATGGCTGGGTAGTTCCTGGGCACTCAAGAAACACTACCAGTTACTCTGATAGTATACATTTTGTTGAGTAACTTCCATAGCCCCTGCCCCATGCTGAGTATTTTATCTGTGTTGAGTCCCTGTCTCTGCTCTGAGATGTGAATTGTTGCCCTTATTTGCAAATGGGGAAACTGAGGCATGGGAAGGGACTGGGGTTTTGCCCAGGGTCACATAGGTTAGAGGCCATGGCACTGGGAGGCTGATCTGGAGATGTCTCTGGGACTCAAGGCTCAGAAGCGAGTTCTTCGTGGGAAATCAGACTCTCCACTCCACCAGGGCCAGGAGGCTCTTACCTTTAAGGCCTCAAATTCTTGCTGGGCATGGCCCAGCCAGACACCCCTCAGCTGGACTTCCAGCCGCTGCATGCTCTCCCGCAGCACCTGTTGTCCCTGGGCCACCTCCCCTAGCGCCTGGGCCGTGGCGTCTGCTTGCAGCTTCAGAGCATCCTCCTCCATCTGAGCAATAAATAGTGGATGTTAGTAGGACGACCAACTTGTCTTTGTTTGCCTGGGACTTGCTTAATTTTAACACTGAAAGTCCTATATTCCAGGGATGCCACCCCCCCCTCAATCCTGGGCAAACCCAGTTGGTTACCCTAGACAACTCCACCGCAAACTCCTACCCACCCCACGATGCCCCAACTGCAGTGCCCACCTGCATCTCCAACAGGCTTGTGCGTAGCTCCTGGGCTGCATCCCGGCCCCGGCTGACCTCCTGCCCCAGAAGGCCCAGCACACGGCCATAGAGGCCCAGGCTGTGCCAAGCCTTTGTCAGCCGTGCCTCTGTGGCCCTGTACACACCGTTGAGGGCCTGACCCAGCTGCAGGGCCCCGTGGAAGAGGAGGATCAGCTCCTCATGTTGTGCCGGCTCCAGGCCCCCGACGGGCGCTGCAGAGGCGGGCCGGGCCACTGTGGCCAGAGCACACAGTAGGCACAGTGCGAGCTTGGGCATGGCTGAGGCTCTGAGGGTGCGGCCACAGTGCCACTGCCACCAGCTTTTATGCCCCAGCACCCCGGTAACCCCCGGTCAATCGTTAACCGGCCAGCTGGACGTCCCGGGTTGTGCAAGGGCCTGGCGGTGGCGCGACAGTTGCATCAGGCGAATGTCCGGTGAGGCCACGCTGAGATCACGCCGGCTGGGGCTTGGGGCCAGCTGTGGACTGGGGGGCACTGGTTGGGGACAGGCCCAGGCCCCGACGGGGAAACCCGAAGCTCAGAGCCTCAGTTTCCCTGCCCGTGGAAGGGACGACAACAGTAACAGACACGGTAGCCATAGCAGCGAGGGGAGTGAGCGTCTTAGCTCGGATGGTTTGGGGGAGGGGGTGCAGGGGGCAGAGATTCTCCCAAGGCCGCACAGCCTGACTGCAGGCCCCGTGTGTGCCCCGGATCAGGGCTGGCTGCCGTTTCTGCTCCTTGGATGACTGTGGGCAGGTGCCTCTGTTCTCCGCCCCCCAACACACATACATACACCGTAAAATGGGAGGAACGTTCATCCCCCCTCTTCGGCTGCTTGGAGAAGTAAATGAGTTGTTTCTCATGCTGAGCGCTTAGAACAGAGCTGGGCCTGCAGTAGGTTCCATGTTAACGTTTGGTACAATCCTTGTCGCTCCCCTTGTTTTGTTATTACTGGTATTGTTATGAAGGCTAAGCTGGGAGGCTCGATGCCCCTGTTATACAGATAGGGAAACTGAGGCCCAGAAGGAGGTTGGGGCTTGCACAGAGTGAGCCGTGAGAGGGAGAGGCAGAACTCTGACTTTAGCCCAGCCCCACTTCTGATTCTGGCCTCAGTTTCTCCACCCGAGACACAGGCCTCCTAACTCTAGTGGCTTCTCCTGGGGGAAGGGCAGTCAGGCCCCTGAGCGGGGGGAAGGGGCGGGTCAGCCCAAGTGGGGGCTCGGGCCTGACTACTGGCCGCCCGGGCCACCTTCTTGGAACCCCAACCCTGAGCACCCATCTGACCCTGCTCGACACCCCCCATGCCTCAGTGCCCCCAGAGTCCCTCTGTGTCCCCACCCTCAGATGTACTGTTCCCCCATCTATGCTCTGAGGGTGCCCACCTGTCCCCCACTCTCTGCCAGTGACATCTGTCGCCCGGTGCTCATAATTGCCCCATATGCCGCCTCAGCTGTGTGGCCATCGACGCGCCCCCCCCCCGCCGTGTCCCAGGCCAGGCTTGTGCCGGAAGCCCAGCCCTGCCTGTCCCTCTGATGCCCCCCTGCCCCCGCAGGAACCTGCTGTACGTGTACCCACACTGCCTTAACTTCAGTAGCCGCCAGGGCTCCGTGCGCAACCTGACCGTGCGAGTGCAGTACATGGCGGGGGAGGACCCCAGCCAGGCCCTGCCGGTCAGTGGCCGTGCCGGGGGCGGGGGCGGGGATCCCGGCTGGGACGTCCCGGGGGGCCCTCACGCTCACCCTCCCCCAGGTCATCTTTGGCAAGTCCAGCTGCAGTGAGTTCACCCGAGAGGCCTTCACCCCCGTGGTCTACCACAACAAGTATGCGGGGTGGCGGGATGGGACCGGCGGTGGGGACACGGTGGGGCAGCAGGAGGGGAGGAGGCTGCCGCTAGGAGAGCCGGCGGCGGATCCTGAGGCAGAGAGCAGACCGTGGGGCCAGGCGGCACTGGGGTCTGACTTGCAAGAGGGGATGGGGAGGGCCAGGGGGTCCCCGCCCCCAGCAGAGCCCCATTCCAGGTCCCCAGAGTTCTATGAGGAGTTCAAGCTGCGTCTTCCGGCCTGTGTGACCGAGAACCACCACCTGCTGTTCACCTTCTACCACGTCAGCTGCCAGCCCCGGCCGGGCACAGCGCTGGAGACTCCCGTGGGCTTCACTGTGAGACCCCCACCAGCCCTCACCCCCACCCCCCAGCCCCGCTGACCCTCTGTTTGGCCCCAGACCTGACCCCCAGCCTCTCCCCAGTGGATCCCACTGCTGCAGCATGGCTGCCTGAGGACTGGCCCCTTCTGCCTCCCTGTGTCTGTGGACCAGCTCCCACCCAGCTACTCCGTGCTCACACCAGACGTATGTGCCCTGGCCCCCTGCCTCCCTTCCCAAGGCCTTGTCCTCCGACAACACTCCCCAGGCTCCCACCACATGGTCCCCGATCTGTGCCGTGCCTTCCTTCCCATCAATACCCCTGGGAGCCTTGTTGCCCTCTGTTAGGGCCTCCGGGACCCCTGGCTGCTCCATCCCCCCCATTATACTTTTGTGTGTCCGACTGTCCCCACATGTCCCTGTCCCCCACTAGCCCGGCCTCATTACCACCTCCTGCCCCTGCACTCACCATTCCCCACTGTCCTTCTGCTCCAGTCCCCCGTTCGTAGCCCTGCCTGCCTCCCTGACCACGATCCCCCCAGTAGTTCTTCCAGGTCCCATCACCCCCATTAATGCTGTCACCCTCCCACTTACCCTTGAGCTGTCATTAATGCCCTGGGGGCCTCAAGTTCTCCCATTATGCTCTTTCCCAATTCATTCCCCTCAGTAATGTGCACCCCAGGCCTCCATTGTCTGTTTCTCTGTTTGTACCCCAGGCTTCCAGCCTGCCCAGGGGACCCCCACAGTACTCCCTCCCGTCTGTGTCCCCCCCGTTGGCGCCCGGCTGCTCCCGCCGGTGGGGCTGGGTTACACCCACAGTATTGCAGTGGCTGGGGCCGGTGGCGCTATGGGCACGGGAGGGCAGGCCGGTGCCCACCTGGCGTGTCCCTCCTGCAGGTGGCGCTGCCAGGCATGCGCTGGGTGGACGGCCACAAGGGCGTGTTCAGCGTGGAGCTCACTGCCGTGTCCTCTGTGCACCCGCAGGTAGGGGGTGGGGGGATCCCAGGAGTCCGGCCCTGGGGTTGAGCAACAGTGCTGCTGACCGGGGAGGCCTGGCCTTGGGCCATGGACGTGACTTTGGTCAGCGAGGCCCGGCTCCCAGGGAAGCTGCTGAGTCAGGCGGGGGCGGCCATGCCAGTGGCCATCCCAGCTGGGGCTTTGGCCCTCTGCATGGTCTCTCCTCCCCGCGTGTGTCCCTCACCGCTTCTGTGGTCACTTCCCCGCCCCCTCTCCTCCCTCCAGCTCCTAGCTCATCCCTTTCCTCATTTATAGTCAGTTCATTGATCCCCGGCCTTGGTTTTCTGCCCACTAAGCACCACCCCCAACCCTCCAGGGCCTTCCCAGCCAATGGAACCCTGGCCACCCCCCGCCCTGCTCACCCCGGCTCCCCCCACCCCCAGGACCCTCACCTGGACAAGTTCTTCACTCTGGTGCATGTCCTGGAGGAGGGGGCCTTCCCGTTCCGCCTCAAGGACACCGTGCTGAGTGAGAGCACTGTGGAGCAGGAGATGCGGGCCAGCCTAGCAGCCCTGCGCCTCGCCAGCCCCGAGCCCCTTGTTGCCTTCTCCCATCACGTGCTGGACAAGCTCGTCCGTCTGGTCGTGCGGCCTCCAATCATTGGCGGCCAGATCGGTGAGCGGGCACAGCCTCAGACCCCAGTTTCCCTATCTGGAAGAGGGCCAGCCCCTCAGTCCCCTGGTCCTGGGTGACCTCCTCAGCCCGCTTATCTTTCTGGCCTCGGTTTTCCTTTCTGAAAAATGGCTCCCAACCACCTGTGACCCTTTGATTGGCCCCACAACCTCTTGGAAAGGTGGGAGATAGGAGTTCCCTGAGGAGGTAGAAGGCCCTGGGCTTTAGCACTTGACCTCTGCTCTGCCCGGCAGTGAACTTAGGCCGTGGGGCCTTTGAGGCAATGGCCCATGTGGTCAGCCTTGTCCACCGGAGTCTAGAGGCTGCCCAGGATGCCCGTGGTCACTGCCCACTGCTGGCTGCCTATGTCCACTATGCCTTCCGACTGCCTGGCACCGAGCCCAGCCTCCCAAGTGGTAAGTGTTAGTGGGAGGCCCCTGGGGGACAGGACATATCTGGGAGGAGAGCATCCCAGTCAGAGGGAACAGCATGTGCAAAGGCCAGGAGGCCGTACAGACCTTGGCTGGTTTGGGCAACTTGCAAGAGAGAGAGTTTTTTGTTCACTCACCCCCTCCCCAGGCTGGCGGTCTTTGTTGCTTGACTGGTGGGTCATTCAGCCAGTCACCAAGCATCTGCAGTTAAGTTGAAGCAGAGACGCAGCTGGGCTGCCCAAGCTCGAATCCCAGCTCTGCTTCCTGCACATGCTGTGACCCTGGGCAAGTGACTTCACCTCTCTGGGTCTGTTTTCCATTTCTAAAACAAGGATAATAACGGTCATCCCTTCATGGGGGCGCTGGTAATAGTAAATGAGGTCTAATCCATACAACACACTTGATATGGTGAACGCTCAATGCAGTTGGATCCTTTTCAATTTGCTAAGTAATTAACACTAACCTCTAGCCCCTCTGGGCACTGACCACGTGCCAGGCACTGTTCTTGGGCTTTGTCCGTCTCCCCCAAATCACTATGAGGTGGCAGCCACTAGCATGCCCATTTTATAGGCGAGAAGCCTGAGGCTCAGAGACAGAAAGTGACTTTACCCAGGCCAGCCGGCCGGGAAGGGGCAGGGGGCTGACCGTCTTGCCGCCATCCTCAGGGACCCCTCCAGTGGCAGTGCAGCCTGCCACACTGGCCCGTGGCCCTGGCCGCCCCACCAGCCTCTACCTGGCCCGCTCTAAGAGCATCAGCAGCAGCAACCCCGACCTGGCTGTGGCCCCGGGCTCTGTGGACGACGAGGTCTCCCGCATCCTGGCCAGCAAGGTAGGGCACGGGTGGGCGCTGGGGTCTCCAGCCTCAGCGGCCACGGCTGCCAGGCGGGCAGGTGAAGGATTAGGGTTGACAGAGGACGGGAAGCTCCAAGCAGCAGCACGGACAGAAGCTTGACTCTGGGCAGCGGGGCTGGTCTGCGGCTTTCACAGCTTGGGAGCTGCGACTCAGACTTTGCCCTGGGCTCCGCACTCCAAGGCCGACCCAAGGATGGGTGGCTGGAGGTCGGCCTGGTTGAAAAAGCAGTGTGTACATAGCGGACCAGGTGCCTATGGGCGCATATACGCCACAGGTGCATATACTCACAGACCCCACGCATGTGTGTGCATGGGGCACAGATATACGTGCACTCCATGCACGGCCGCCCACAGGGAGCGTATGCGCGTGGGCCCCAAGCACGTATGTGCACGTGCATTTGCCAGGGTGGCGTGTGGGTGCCCGGGGTGCGCGTATGGCCCCGGGCAGTGCTCACGCTTGGTGTTCCGTGCCGTTCTCCCCGCCTTCTGCCCACGGATTCTACCGCGTCCCCGTGTGTCTCCAGGGTATCGACCGCTCACATTCCTGGGTGAATTCTGCTTATGCTCCAGGAGGCAGCAAGGCTGTGCTGCGACGGGCACCCCCTTATTGCGGGGCCGACCCCAGACAGGTGCCCTCCCTACCTGCCCCTGCACGCGTGTGACCCCATCTTGGCATGAGCTCCTCCCACCTTCCTGGCTGTGGCCCACTAACCTAGGAGGGCTGCCTGAAGGAGGCAGCACACCCCTCCTGCCTTTGTTCAGGGGCTTTGGAGTCAGTGTTTTAGGCATCACGGTCATCTTAACCAGCCTTTTGCTGCCTTACAGACTCCAGCCTCAGGCAGACACAGGAGGGAGAGGGTGGTATGCAAATAGCATGCAAAGGATATGCAAATCCAGCCACTATAACCTCCCTGCCTCGCATGGCCTGCTTCTCTAATCCACTCGGTTCAGGAGCCTCGCAACTGTCCCCTTGACATAGCAGTCCGAATGATGCCAAAGGGCCGAGACTGACCCTCTGGGCTCTCCCTCCCCTCCTGTTTCAGGCAGACAGACCTCTGTGGGCAGCTCCCTTTAAACTCTGCCCCTTCCCAGGGATCTGGTGCGGGGAGAGGCTTTGCCTTCAGACAGACCTGGGTCCCAGTTCTCGAGTTCTCGCTCTGCTGCGGGCTCGCCCTGTGCCCGAGGCTCTGAATTTTCAGATGTGGTCAAGATTCAAAGCAAAGTGTTTATTAGCACAGTGGTCCCGAACCTGGGAACGCGTTAGGGCATCACAGGCAGGATTTTATTGGGATAGATCTCAGTCCAGCCCGGCCTCTGAGCTGCCAGGTCTGGGAGATAGGCACCGATCATGCAAACACACGAGTATATGAGTGCAGGGTGTGAAAATGCCTGAAAAGAAATGAATAGGAATGAGGCCACCAGCCTCCTCTGGGTGGTCTGGGGGGGGGGCCTCTCCAGGGAGATGACATTTCTCTTGGGACCTGAAGGGTGAGACAGAGCCAGCCAGGGAAGGGTGGCTGCTCCAGATGGATGGAAAGGCACATGCAAACGTTGGGACCGAGCTGAGAGCCCCCAAGGCACTGAAAGGAGGCCACTGGGGTGGTTTCCCCACACACTTGGCCCCAGACCTTGTTCCAGCTCCGTGCCCACCACCCAGGCAGCCTGCACTGAAGGCACGCCAGGGGACTGTTAGCAGCAAGGGATCTTTTGGACAGTCTTCTCCTGAGATTGCTGGAAATCTGGGTTCATGGGCCCTGCCGGCCCCCCAGCATCTTTAAGAGGGCCTCCCCCAATGCCCTCCTTCTCTGAGGTGTCAGCTGGGCCTCGAAGAGCACCTAGGAGGGGATGAGGTGGTAAGAGGGTGGGCATTGCAGGCAGGAGGGGACCCTGAGGCCGGCCTTTGCTGTGGGTGGCCCATCTGGTGTGTGCTGAGGAGCCAGGGCCCTGCTGGGGTTGTGGGAACTGGGGGGTCCCTCGAGTGCTGGGGCCCGGGCAGGTTCCAGGGGTCAGAGCAACTCCATCTTGGGGCCTCCTCTCCTTGCCAGTGGCCTCACCTCCCGACCAGCAAAGGAGGAGGGGAGAAGTGTAGCGTGGGCCCCCATCCCCATTTCACAGATGGGGAGCACTGAGGCAAGCAAGGCTGGAACAGGGCCAGGCCTGGAACCTGGGGCTCTTGGCTGCTCCTGCTGCATCTCATCGGCACCTCCTCTCACCTCTGTCCTATCTCTTTCCCTCTTCTTTCTCTACCCTCGCTTGGACCCCATGTCTATACTCCGCTCCCCTGTCTACGCTCCTTCCTCCACCTCATTGCCCTTCTCTTCCATCCACCCCGGCCTCATGGACTCTCTCCGGCTCTCTGACTTCACCCTCCCTCTTCACCGTGTCCACCCGCACCCCCATCCCTCTGCCATCTTTGTCTGGCCCCGTCCACCCTCGCCAGCGGGCTCCTGTCCCCATTCTCACCTCTTCTGTTCCCCCGCTGGGCACCCCCTTCTCTCTTTGTTATGCTTCTCATCCCCTCCATCACCCCCCCCCACCTTTATCCTTATTATCTCTGCCAAAATCATCCATGCCCTCCTGGCCTGTCCACATGGACATGTCTGTGCCCTATCCATGCCAACCATCTCCTCCCCGTCCATACCGCCGGCACCCTCGCTAACCCACCTCGCCATCCCATCCTCTTCACCCCATCCCATCATAGGCCATCGACCGCAGCTCTAGCCGAACTTCTTCCTACCTTGAGGGCTCCTCCTTGGCCCCACCAGCCACCCAGCCGAGACCCACTGTGCAGAAGGTAGTGGGAGGCAGGGGGTGGGTGACTCCGTGTTGGCCCTGGAGCTCCTGTCTCCCCCGAAGCCCAGCAGGGTCTGGAGGGCCCAGGGAAAGGGCGTGCTGACTCCTTCCGCTCCCTCTCCTGCACGGTCTCCAGCTGCACTAACCCCAAGCCATCCTGCTGCATCCAAGCCCTGTTATGCCCTCCAGAGGAGGGCACGGGGTGGGCTCCTCGGCTCTCTGTGACCCTTGCCCCCGCCCCCAGCTGCTGCACGAGGAGCTGGCTCTGCAGTGGGTGGTCAGCAGCAGTGCTGTGCGAGAGGCTGTCCTGCAGCATGCCTGGTTCTTCTTCCAGCTCATGGTGAGACACCCTCCTCCCCTCCTGAGAGCAAGAGATGCCCCGGGGAGGTCCTCTCCTCGGGAGAGAAGCCCCTGAGATTGCACCTGAGACCCCTGAGAAATGACCCCAAGAGACCCTCCATGTCGAGAGAGAAGAAACACTGAAGGGGTTCTCTCCCTGGAGAGAGGCCCCCTGAAACTTACCTGAGACCCCCTCCACAGAGAGATGACCCCCCTACCTTCCCTAGGAGATTGTAGAGACCACGGAGAGTCCCCCTAACCAGCATGGAGACCCCTCCCTCTCAAGAGATACCCCCAGAGAGAGAGGGAATCCCTGTGATCAGACTCGAGACCTCTGCGCCAGACTCTTCAAGTGGTGCCTTGAACCACCACTGCTAGATACAAACCTCCCCCAATCTGGTGGGCCATCAAACCCCACCCAGGGCTCCCTCAAATCCCACTTCTTGAGCCCTGCTTTCTGTCCTACCCACATACTTAGCCCCAGGAGACCTAGTCCAGCCCTTCCCAGGCTCTCTCAGCCTCCCTACCCCTGCACCCTGCCTAGAACCCACTCAGGCTCCTCTCACTGCCGGCTCAAGCCCTGTGTTAAGAGTCAGGGCTCGGGCGCCTGGGTGGCTCAGTTGGTTAAGCGACTGCCTTCGGCTCAGGTCATGATCCTGGAGTCCCGGGATCGAGTCCCGCATCGGGCTCACTAC